GTCTCCAGTTGTCTTTTGCCGCAGCTCAGATTCTGGCACAGGATCGGGAACGTTGGAAGCACTGTCTGACAAGTCTGCTTCCGCTACTCGAAAGGAGAAGCGGTCATGAAAAATGATGATTATGATGAGTGTATTTGAGATCGAGTGTATTGAAGCCCTTGAAAACAATGTACTGATGAATGAAGTTGTACTCGAACCCTGGGTGAATCTGATTTCTAATATTCTTGAGTATTTCGATTAATAGCACTGTTCATCAAAACTCTAACTCGTTTCAGACGAATAACATACAATAAACTGAGATACTGAATCAAGAATGCGAGCAGAAGTTTTGCTACAGCGGCAGAGCATCATTAAATGGTAGGTTGTTTCAAAATCAGCGAAACGTTTCTTTCTGGTTACAGAATTTCTGCGCAAATTGGAATTAGAAGCTTCATGTTGAGCAGCTGCCTTCTTGTGTCGAATGACAAATGGCCATGCATATGGTGCGGTCAGAGGAAAGCTACTGTATCATGCCTCGATGCTGTTCGATTCGTGCACTTAAAGCATAAATGCGCTTCAACATATATAAGGGCTAACTTGCACAAGATGTAACGCGAAAATTGATTTAAAGTGTTTAAGGCAATGAAATGATCAAAATGAAATTCAAGCTCACAAACGTCATGTTTTCTCCAGAAATATTATGCTTCATGCCAAGCCCATGTTCTCCTCATGTTATCGCAATGACGGCGTAATAGCTAATGGCATAAAACTATAATGAAGCAGAAGTTTGCAATGTGAAATATACACTAAATATTTTAAATGCTTTGTTCGATTATATTAGGCAGCCGAAATAAACGAGGACGTTCCTTATGATCGACATTACCACACACAGTGAAATTGACCGCACACTGCCGCAACGGAGAGGGACAATTCGGCGCAGCCGTTATAGTCTTTATCAACGTGCAACACATTTGATTCCATTTGAACTGACTGTGGTCATTTCGATCAACTGTAATATTTAACCCAGCAAGTTATATATCTATGAGGAGTCGTCCGTAAACACAATATGAAACTTCTGTCAAACTAATGAATTTCTATGATTTTGCGTTTTATTTTATGACTCAAGTTTTCTACCTGCGAGAACTGCATATCATCCAGTATCCTATAAAGTTAAAAAATATCAGGGTGCGGACGAAAGAATAATATCCATTGTTAATGATTATCATAATAGTGATATTATTACCTACCTTCATGGTGTAGCGCATAACTGCGAAATGACGCAATGATGTTGTCTATTGCATATAAAATTTTGCTATATATAGAGTTACTTTGTACAGCAGCTCGTTGTTCTTCCATGAAAAGTTTATTTCTAACTAAATTATATTAATGATCAAATTGTGAAATAATTGAGCAGTTTGACAACTGATTTGGCAGACATTTTGGTATTGTACTCTCAAAGATATTAATATATAAATTTCGCTGGTGGACGAAATCTTAGAACCTTAGAAATTCATTAATTTTACAGATGTTTCATATTGTGTTCACGGAAAGCTTCTCATAGATATATAGCTTGCTGAGTTAGATATTACAGTTGATCGAGATGACCACAGTCCAATCAAATATGTTGTCCATTGATAACGACAGTCAGTCGGCGCCGAAACGGTTCGCGCCGAATCGCTATGAACCGTCTTTTGCACTTTGTATAATTAAACCGTGTTTTACGGTACTTTATCAGCATGACCATCAATGCACAAACGATTTACTCTACTGTTTGTGTTCTTGTGCATAAATAAACCGTGATATATGCTGTTTTCAGCTAAAGAGAATTGACTTTCAATGAAACCTTAGTCCAGGTAGAGAAACGGAGAAACTTGAAAAGAAATTCAGGAAAGTACCGTTAGTAGCTCTGAAACAATTCTTTAATATAACCTGTATTCAAAATGTACCAAAAAAATTAAAACTGCCTCAGCCTGACTACGTGGAACGATGCCATACACGAAATTTACACCGAATAAACTTAAACTTCGTTCTATTACCTTTGTAATCAAATCAACGACGGATATCTAATTAATAATAAACACTAAGGAATAGGTAGAAGGTCAAAATTCTATGACGAATGATACCGAATAAATTATTATTCATATGCTGAAATAATCACTGCAGTGGAGGCACGATATAGATTGTTATGATATTCGCACAGACATTTGACAAACAGTTATAGAATTAAGATTTAAAGCAATGCATAGCATTAATCTGAAGGGGTTACTCACTAAACCCTGGTCAAACGGCTGCATGCGTTACACGTTCATGTAAGAATACGAATTTAGGACGATTTCGCATAAACACGCATATTAATACAAGGAGTATCGAGTGCAATTCAACATCGAATGCGTTATAAGGTATCATATAGCAAGCAATAGGCATGGAGAAATTACGCAGGAGATAGGCATGGAGAAATTACGCAGTTCGAATGGTCACTCAACTCTTATTCATGGGTTACACCGATATGTTTCACTCGGAGAGTCACACAGCAGAGTGAAACGCTTGCTAATAGGCAAATTCCACCGGACATCGTCTGATTAGTGGCGATGATAATCTTACACAGCAGAAGGTCTAGTGATCTGACCAGTGGGTTCAATGTCGGAGTTGCCATTTTGATTCATAAAGTGCATCTATTTCTCTGGTTGTCAATTATGATAGGGGATCTGAACTCCCCATCATGATAATTAGATCTCTGTCAGTGACCTCTATCAAAGTCAGATACATTTTCGTTAGAGATTCTAATTCGGTGCATAAAGTTTCAGCGGTGCCAGCGTCCGCTCTTTCACTGATACCATCAGTGAGTAAATGCCTTCAGCCGGCTGTCTCTGATCCACCAGTGTCGCCGTCCCTGATTACGCCCATG